TTACATACTATCATTTATTTCTTTTAAGATAATTTTTCACTTAATCCTAATTGGAAATACAAAACCTTAATAACATTTTTTATGTTTTTTGAATATTTTATTCTTTATCTCCTCGTTGTTGTTTGCCACCCATAGCTTGCCCATAAAAGATCTAATTATAAGTTATAACTCATAATAAACTATAATCATTTCAAACACTTTTTTTTTTTATTTTGTACTTAAAGAACCAATAAAAATACCAACAAACAAATGCTAATAAAACATAGGATTAATATATGTAGTGAAAATTGAGTTTAGATCTGAGATTAAGAATCTACGAGATTTTAAGGGGTGGAAAGAATGTTGGGTTGGGTTAGGGTTGAAAGATTTTAGTTAGGGTTAGGGTTGGGTAGGTCGGGTTGAAGGTTGGGTTGTGTTAGGGTTAGAGTTGGGGGTTTAGAACTTAGGGTTGGGCTAGGGTTAGCCTCAACCTGACCTAACCCGGCCTGATTTGCAGCCCTACTGTTTTTGCATGTTTTAATCAAGTAATTAAAAATTTTGTTGTTTTTTTTTGTGTTATTTTACTTATTTATTGCTTATATATAAGATAACAATAAAAAATAAGAAATTAGATGTAGATTTTAACCCAATCCACCCTATCCTTAAATGTGAAGAGGGTTTGGATTCTCAAAATCTAACCCGCTACAGATTTCAGGGTAGGTACGGGTTGGGAGGTTTAGGGATGCAAATAAGATATAGAATTTACAAAACCCTCCTCTAACTTGTTTCGTTGCCATCCCTACTTTATGGGATCATAGTGGACCTATTCACGGGCCAGGTTTTAGGCTTTACTTTATACTTTTGGGGTTCGGATTTCATGCTAACCCATTAGAGTTTTGGCAAAGCCAAGCTTGTGCTTTTGCCCATGAACAAGTCTAGATCATAACAATGGCCATGATGATTCTTGATGCACATTATCATAGCAAAAGTGAATTGGGAAAATGGTTATTTTCATTGGGAGGTGATCTAGACTTCCCTTGCATCAAACTCTAAGGTGGTGTTTGGAATTGGTGTTATTTTTCTAGTGCCATGCTGAATGAGTATTGATGTTTTCTCAGAAAATGGATTTTTTTTTTTGTTTGAAACCTTTGTTGCCATATAGACATTTTTCAATGCCACATCAACATACTATTGATAATAATAGCAAAAGATCGAAAAAACATAAAAAAGAGTGTTTCATATAACACTTTTCCAATTTTCAAGGTATAATATTTTTTGGGGGAAATGTGCTGATGTGGTGCCATTTTTCAAGAAAATGACATCAGCTCCAAACACTTACTAAGATGGTGTTTTGGTTTTGTAGCTGTTTATTTTAAAAGTGTCACCAATCAATGGTCACGTAGTATTTATTCCAAAATGCTATTTGATAAAAACATTTATTAGATAAACCTTTATATTTTTATGTTCCCCCACCTGTGTTTATTTATTGTTCAGCTTTTGTATCACCTAGGGGATGTTTGGTATCTAGGGGCGATCATTCTTGGCCCGCCCCGGAAACTCAATTCAGCCCAACTTAACAGTTTCCAAGCCTGGGCCCAAGTTTTTGTGTGCAAGCCCAACTCGGCCTGGGCCCACATCAAGCCCAAAAAATTTTGGGTCAGACTTGGGCTCTACACTTCAAGCCTGGTCCATTCTCGATCCAACGTGCAATATAATATAATATATATATATTTTAAATATATATTATATATATCATATATATATATAAGTATATTTTATTTTACTAAATATTTATTATTTTATACAAGATATAAAAATTTTATGTTTTAACATATAAATAAATATTAATTAATTGACAGATGTTACATGTGTGAAAACCTAAGCCAACTCAAGTATGTAAATTGTTCTTCTAGGCAAGGTCTTATAGATGAAGACAGAGCTTTCATTCTCATTGCATAAGCAATGTGGGACTTGGAAAAAATTCAATGGTAGCACTTATGAAGGCAAGGCAGAGCTTTCATTCTCATTGCCTAAGCAATGTGGGACTTGGAAAAAACTCAATGGTAGCACTTATTATTTAGTGTTGTTCCAAGTCTCACCGTAGAGCTATAAACATTCCAAATGACAAAAACCCCTACTTTATACACCAATGCCAACCCGTGAATTGGCATCAATTTCGAATTGACACCCACCCCAATTGTACTTTAAGCCCAAAAAATCTGACCCTGGGCTGAACTGTCATTCTCCCTTTTTTTTACATATATTACATTTAATTTAATTTAGATGTTATAGGTTCGAAAAGCCCATAAGCTCGTAAGCCTGGCCTAGGCATATGTAGGGTCAGGCTTGGGCTTGCAAACTAGGCACAGGGTGCGGGGCGGGCTGGGCCCAGGCATAGGTTAAAGCACTTACAATTAGTGCTAAACCCGGGCCAGGCCGCCCGGGGTGACCCATGATCATTCCTATTGATATCGGTGCCGTTTATCAAAAAAGTGGTGCCATGTTGGAGTCAACTCGGCGTTTTCATTTTTTGTTGCCCATCATGCTGTTTGGTTCAAGCATTTTTTTTTCAAACAATGATAAAAAATGTTAATACCTCGTAAATCGTAATTTTCTTGATACATGAAACGTCAAATTTGACATTTACTGCAATGAGCCGTTACTCCCAAACGACATGACACTGATTTTGTACCAAATAGATTATACATATAAGAAAAGTGATAAAAATCACCTTATCAAATATAGCAAAAAAAAGGGAAAAAGTTCTGATTGATAAAAAAAGGTGAATAGATTGCTTTACTGCCTGATTGGCAGAAATAGAAACAGTATCAAATAGATTACATGCACCATGTTGGGCGTGAGCGTTTTTTTTTCTTTTAAATTCAGCCCAAAAAATGCCGACGTTACCAAACACCATCCTAATGGTGTATAATATATAAAATAAAATGTTTATCAATTGATTTTCTTTGTTTTCCAAAATAAATCCCATACAAAACATTTTTGGCCACAGTTCCAAACAACCTCTGGTTTTTTTGTGCTAAAAGGTTCAACTATATATCAGAAAGACATGGCAACTTTTTTTTATTGAAGAATAATGAAGATGATGTGGCGAATGTAGGCAACTGCCACTCTGCAATTGTGCAAAAGGCCCTACGCCCATCACCCTTTCCACTTTCAAGGGTTACCTCAAACTTTGAATTGAAGAGGCAAAAAGTTCTCAAAGGATCAAGCGCCATTCACCACCTCAATTGAAGTTTGAACGTGAAGGACACCAGCTAACTCGCCCTTCCTCTCGCTGTCTCCCCTCCTCTTATTATATCTTTCTCGCTCTCGAACAGACGAACTGGTGTGGTTCAGTTTAAGCAACTAATCAAGGATGTTGGAATCTAAGGCTTGGAAAACGTATTTGAGGTAACGTAATGCACAGCGCGACCTTCGTTTCTTTTGTCTACTACTTCTGTCTTTCACTTGTTGTTGATAAGATTCTGCAATTTGTCTCAATTCTAAGACTCGCTTTTCTCCATTATCTTTTCTTCTTTAATTATCTTTTCTGCTTTTTTTTTTTGTATTATATATGTTGCAAATTACCATCGAGGTTATTTAGAAAATATTTTATTACTAAAATATAAATAGATATCTGGTTTGAATTAAATACTTTTAATAAAGTTTTTAGAGAAAGCATCATTGGAAGAACGGGATCTGGGAATATTTTTCTAAGGGATAAATAGGTAAGAGCTTTATTTAATGTGGGCGAAGATTTAGAGGTTTCAATTATATTTGCAATGGCTTCAATTTATCTCTAAGATCTTGAGGAGGGCCCCATGTCCCCATCCGAAATGGTTTATTTCTGTATTTTATTTTATCTTTATTATTATCACAAGGTGTAAACAATATTTTTGACCATATTTTCTCTGGGAAGTTTTTTCTTTAATGCTTCTGAAGTACGCACAGTATTTTTCAATTCTGTAGTTTTGTTCGTTTGTGTCTTGGAGGAACATAGGATATATTTTGTGCTTTGAGAATTCAAGGGCCATCTACCAGAACCAGGTCCTGGTCAGCTGTTTGATCTGATATGGTAAGAACAGAATGCTTTACTCTTCAATGCTAGTTATTTGTTGCAATCTATGGACTTGGACTTACCTTCTGTGTGGTAGAGATACATTTTTGTAATCCTGTTGCTTTGCAAGTTGTTGGCTATTTAACTTTTTTGAATTCTATGTATTCATGATGCTGGCATACTATGTACTTCTCTTGATCTTGGTGCAATTGGTCCTCGAGAACTACTTGCAAACTTGTAAATGGTGAAGTTTGAAGTTTGTAACATTCAATTAGTAAAAGACTTTAAACATCCCTTCATGTTCGTTCTAAACACTGAAACCTCCCTTTCATTTCAAATTGGAGGAAGACCTCCCCCGTTAGAGTTATATCTAACAGAATCATCAAAGTCTTTTTTACCCTTACTAATTCTTCAAATTTTCAAAACAATGGGATCTATCAGTTCAAAAAAAAAAAAGAATCTATAAGTGGCTTGATGGACATGAGAAGGGTCAAAATTGAGGACGAGTAAGGGTCTTCCACCTGGTGAAACCATGTACTTTTTTTATCAATAACTATTAACTTCATTCAATTTGAAGGAAAATGTACAAGAGAAAGCTGGTGAAAGACAAGCCCTCATATCTCTCCCCTTTAAATATCAATCAACAATTACATCTGTGCCCAAAAAGTTTGATTTCTCCCAACCCCTTGTTTGGCTAATGCATCAGCCATTAAATTTGCTGTTCTTTTCACCCAAAGTATTCTCAGTTCCATGTCCTTTGTGATCCACTTGATTTTTTTTCTTCTCATTGTTGTATTTCCACATCCTGCTTTCCTCATCCTGTAGCCAAGCCACTACCAGTTTGGAATCCCCTTCAATGATTAGCTTACTAACATTCACGAGTCTAGCCCTGTGCACCCTTTCCATAACTGTCATCACTTCCACTCTTAGTGAATCACCCTCTCCTGCTGGGCCTGAGAAAATTGCAAGCACTTTACCCTCCTCATCCCTGAGTACACCTCCGATTGCAAGCACTATTGTCTTATTTTGTTTCTAATAATGTTTCAATGAAATCTGTAAGGTCTGATACCCTTGCTAATTCGAGATGGTCACATCTCTTGCCTCTTGTATTTTGTGTTCATGTTCTTGTGCCATGTCTTTGTTCCCTTCCCCCTTCTGTCTTTTCATCTAACTTGTTTTCTCTCTTAAAACTTTCTCTCTCAAAATAAATGCCTTTTTCTAGTTGGTTAATCTTTACTTAAGTCAGTGACCAAGTCACTAAGTAACACCTAAATCCTAATAGAGTATTAGGAAAAACACAAAACACACCAGATGGAAGACAAAAATTAAGCATTACAGACAATAGAACATGATTAAACTACAGTCAGAACAAGGTAAACTTGACTACAGCAATAAAGCATTACAGACAATAGAACTGACTTTGGTGTACTTCCATCACCGAAAGGTAAATATTATATATTAGATGGAATCCTGGAAATGCAAAAAATAAGTTGAACACTTAAATGATGTACTTCCATCAAATTCAGTTCTCAAGCTAAATAAAAGTCCACAAGAAGTTGAATAACTATACAATTAAGTGGAGAAACCTAATAGAAAGTCTATTCTGGAAATCACTTATTGTTACAAAAGCCTGTTCTTTGTTCTTCTTGGCTTAGATGTTCAATATCCAGAGGATTTAAACAAATCACTAGTGCAATCAGCTTCTAGTTGCCTTTGTTCTTTCCTTACCACCTATTTGGATGGCTAGGGGGTATTTTAGATATTAATAAAATCTTGTTAATTATAAAAAAATATCCCTTCATTGAACCTAATGGAGCATAATTTTCATTTTACTTTTTGTGAAAAAGTAAGCTATTGTATTCAGTGTAATCAAAACATTTACATTGTCCAGTGCAATGAGCTCATGCACATGGACTGTTCTACGTATACATTCTGATAATTAGATAAAAAAGTGTCCTGCCCTAAGAAAAAGACCAGTAAGGAGTATTTTTGAAGCTATTATGACTTGCTGCTCAAGATGAATTTTTCCCCATAAAAATTTCATAACTGTATCCTCTAATTGCATTTATTTTCAAAAAGTATTGAGCTCCTTTCAGACCAGATGGTCCAAATCACAGCCAAAGGCACTACTACCCAATACCTTTCCTTCTTTACTCAAACCCCTCAACTACCAGCTCCATAAAAATGTTTCCAGGTTAGATGGGAAACACCGAAACAGAGGTGCACCCGAAAAGGAACCAATAGATTGCTCCATATGCTGTACACAAACCTGCAGTGAATGAAGAGGTGATCCATTGTTTCTGCTTCTTTTTCTCACATTGAACATGTACTATTTTCCACCCCTATCTATTCTATTTAGATTATCAACTGTTAAACATTTTCCCAGAATGGCAGTCCATTAAAAAGAAGGCTACTTTGATGAGAGCTGCAGTTTTTCATATTCTTTCTGTAGGGAAACCACCTGCCTCTTCTTCAGCTAGCCTTTTATAAAATGACTTCACAGAAAATTGCCTTATTGTTTTGAGTGTAAAAGGCCATTGCTTGTTATAATGGTAAAATCTTGGGATGACAAGTCTGAGAAGACAGGTTTTCACTTTGTGCAAAAAAATGCCAAGTTGGGCTGTGTTCCTGTGTCCAGTCCACCCCTCCCAAGACCCTAAATAGTGGGTCATGTTTGTGGTCATTTCCATTTTCTGATCTTCTCTCCCATTGAATCCTTATAATCATGTTTGTGGTCAGTCACTTAAATCTCTTGATAGCCTCCCTGTAAGTCCATATTGCTGAGTTTGGAATCCCCTTCAATGAGTAGTTTGTCAAAGTTTAAATCTCTAGCAATCTGTAGTTCCATACCCCTTGCAAAACAGCTTAAAATTCAGCATTGACGGAATCACCTGTTGGACAGTGCAATGACATTTCCATCTCTGTTTCTGAATACTCGCTCAATTCTGAAAGGCCTTGGGTTTCCTAAACTGCTACCATCAAAGTCGAGTTTTATGAAACCTTCCTCAGGTGGTACCTAGACTGATAATACCCTATTCTTGTTGACTGAACTCTTCGCTACAGCTTCCCAATTCCTCCAAATATCATCAAAAGAATGGTGGGAAAAGATATCCATCATTTTAATCCAATGAATGACCCAATTCATAATACAATCCGCCAATGCCCCCACATTTCTTTCCTTCTCATTGAATATTCTGGCATTTTTCTCCTCACTGTCCATACCAAAAGATATCCATCATTTTGATCCAGTGAATGACTATTCACAATACAATCCACCAATGCCCCCACATTTCTTTCCTTCTCATTGAATATTGTGGCATTTCTATCCTTACTGTCCATACCAATGCTTCCCTAACACTTCTCTTCTCTACATGATTCTAGCTTTCAGACTTTCAGCACAGACTAGCTTGCTCATACCTGATACCCCTAATTTCCTAAATTAAACAATCTCCATTCCTCCTTAACTTAATCCTTCTAGCAGCTAGAATCAACCATGCCTAATACTCAAGGGCTTACTAAGGCAGGATCCTTACCTCATTCCAGCTAGAATCAACAATGTTGAAAACAAATAAGAAAAAGAAATAAAAATGCCCCAGGAACCAGGACCTAGGCTTCTTTAGAAGTCAACACCTAGAGATGCTATGAGGAATTAGCACCTAAAAAACGTCTTGAAGGAATCAAACCATCAAGAAAATTAGAATTCGTCCAACATTGAAATAAAAAACTCACATTTTATTATCTGATTCTGATGCGAAAAAGAGAAGGTGGGTCATCCTTTTTCCCTTGTTTTTCTAGTTCAAAACCAAGGAAAACCACTAACAAACTAATTAAGAAAGGGGAAAATCCTAGTTGGGAAAGCTAACTCCTATCATAATTAGGAAAACCAACTCCTACTACAACTAGAAAAACTACTAATAACTCAAATGATCAGAAAATAGCTACTGAAAAATTAAGGCAATAACCCTACCACCTATGAAACGGGCCATTACTCAATGTTGGTCCCAGCTATCTGGGGTCTTGGGAAATCCATAGATAGAAAAGGCAATGACCATACCACCCATAGGTACAAAAAAATAAATAAATAAAATAAAACAAAGGAAAACCCCAGATTTGGCTCATCTACTCTTGCAGTTCCATTATGTCCTCTCAGGAGTATGAGATTTAGTCAACTTCTAGTTATGGTCTTTTGGGTTTGAATGGATGTATTGAGAAACAGGATCAGTTGTATTGGGCTTGGTTGTAATTTGCAATTGTAATCTTTTTATCTTGGGCAGGTAGAATCTTGTGCCTCTCCATGGGGATGCTTGTATTGCCTACATTTATTGCCTTTTTAATAAAATTTCACGTTACTTATAAAAAAAAGGATGTATTGACAAACTTGAGACTGGAGGTGTAGAGTTTATTTGGTGGTAATGGGTCAACTATGCTTATGGATTTAGTGGGAAGACCTTATATTGATTTTATAAGAATTGAATACCTTGAAGTTGTTATTTGTAATTTTGGGGAGTTGTGGGTTTTGTCAAATATATGCATTTTAAAGTAGGTTAACTTGAAATAATGACCTCTCATAACATTTAAGACTTTTGTTTTCTAGAAGATGAATGCCTTATTCAAACAGGATAAGAAAGTGTTGACACCTGAAAGGATTGATAGATGCTTGTAACAATCACCATTTATTTTGGATTTAGTGAATTTGATGAAATCTTGAAATTTGATTGGTGTGAGACCACAAGGACAGTTTTATGGGGCATGCCTTGTTTATCATGTGACAGATATTCCTGTCAAATGACTTTTAAATTGGGAGTTCAAACGAACGGATGGGTAAGGAAAGAGCAAAATGTTAAGGATAAAAATAGAAGGAACAAGTAATTTGGCATGTGCTCTTCACTTATATAAATGCTGGAAATATGCAACTTTTTACTTGCCATAAGTATTGAGATGAGCAAAGCAGAACCGCCAGTAGGGGACCTATGAGAATATAACTGATAGATTGTGGATTTTATTTGCATCGTGAAGTCACTAATGATTGCATCAAGTAAGCATGGTTGTTGTAGAATACTGCAATGGCTTAACTTGAAATATTTTTCTAGCTTTCATTCAGTGAATGACTTATTAAGAGAATGGCAGGTAGGTGCTAGCATTCAAAGCACAAGACCACCAAGGCTTGCCGAGTGATCCCCACCAGCAGCTGGAAGGCTTGAATTTAACTTTAATGGCTGTTGTTTGGGAATTCAGGGGGAATCAGGAGTTTGGGTATAGTAAGAGATGAAGCTGGTAGTATTCTTCTTAGTTTCTCAGCTATCAGGTCTGATTGGACATGGAATCTCTCCCAGGGGTGGACTGTTGACAGTTATTCAAGGGTTAAAGTTGCTGTCTTTAAAGGGGTGGAAAGAAGTGGACGTTGAAGGAGATTGCCAAACAGTTATCTCTTGGGTGAAGAACAGAGAAGAAATTCCTTGGACAATGAGGCCTATGGTAAGACAGGCACTCTTCCTAGGGGATCCCTTAAACATCTCATTTACCTAGATGTGCCAATTTGATGGCTGACACATTGGCTAGGGCGGGAGTGGCAAAGGATCAGTTAGAGTGGGGTTGTCCAGGGATGGACTGTAATTTGTAACTTGGTACTCTCTCTTTTTGTTCAGTTTTAGTTTCAGCTTTATACTTGGTCTCTTACTCCTTTCAGGCCTGTCTGTTATATTATGGGAGTTTTCAATTCCTTAATGAATATTTTTACTTGTTACTTATTAAAAAAACACTTTTCTATTTGAACGGCAAGCCTTCTTTCTATCTGTTGATTATCTGTCAAGAGGGCATTGTGGGCAGTGAGCCCAAGGATCTCTTGTGTCACCTAGGCATGCTTGCATTTTGATCCCCATAAATGTGCTTAATTCTATTCAGTTTCTTACAGACAGACTTTAGTTTAATTTAAGCAGAATGGACCATTTCCAACAATTTCAGTGGCATTGCAAATGTTTTATGCCATTTTTTCACAGGAGACCAGTTCATGGATTTTGTGGTCTCTTTTATATTGCAAATCATTTTCTGGTGCCTTAAACTTCTTTATTATTATTTCTGTGTTCTAACAGGAAAGAATGAGGGAGGTCCAGCTCAGTGCCCATACTGTAAAATCCCATGGAGTTTCAGTTACAAAGTTCCACATGCATGACTGGCTTATGTTGCTTTTTCTTGTGGTGATAAAAATCATTCTAACTGTTATTCATCCATTTTATCGCTTTGTGGGGAAGGATATGATGAATGGCCTCAAATATCCCCTCAAAGACAGTACTGTACCCATGTGGACTGTTCCTGTAAGTTTATCTGTATTGTTTAGGATTATAGATGGTATCAATTTAAGGAGTATGATTTCCCATATCTGATTCTCTTAAGCACCCAGAATTTATTAGCCTTCTTTTGTCTTGATGACCAGATATTTACAGTGTTGTTGCCCATAGTCATATTTATCGCCTTCTATTTCTGTAGGAGAGATATTTATGATCTGCACAATAGTATACTAGGTACCATATTTCTAATCTTCATTTTTATTAATAAACACCTTTCTTAAGGCAACCATTTTTATGGTTGACCTGATTATGCAAACTTTCTGCAAGAGCAGGGCTATTATTCTCTGTGCTGATAACTATAGTTATTACGGATGCAATAAAAAATGCAGTTGGTCGTCCTAGACCAGACTTCTTTTGGCGATGCTTTCCTGATGGGAAGGATGTACGTTTCCAAAAACTACAAACTTTTCTATGGTTGATATGGTTAATTGTCTCTCTGTGTATGTGTGTCTATGTGGAAGCGTTTCTGCAGTACTTGATGGGAGAATTTCTTGGTCTTTGATTTTCCTAGGTATATGATCAATTGGGAAATGTTATTTGTCATGGAAAGGCCAATGTCATAAAGGACGGTCATAAGAGTTTTCCTAGTGGCCATACTTCATGTAAGCATTAGTGTAACAAGATTAAATTTTGTACAAGAGGATACTTTTAATTTGAAGATACAAAACTAAATATTTTCAACTTTTAATCCCGATGCCTTTTTTTCTTCAAAATTTTTTATGCATATAATTTTCTCAACAATTTATCTCTTGGTATTGTACTAGTTACTGAACAACTAAAATAGAATTTTTAATCAGTAAAAAGAAATTCAATTGTCAAGAGTCTTAACAGTTGATTTTCTTTAGTTTCATTCATAGTTCTTTGAGCATCATTCATCTTTATTCTTTCCCCTTAATCATACTGAGGTACAAAATTATTCAATGGTTTCAATTTCCTTTCCAGGGTCCTTTTCAGGTCTTGGTTTTCTATCCTTGTATTTATCGGGCAAGATAAAAGCATTTGACCATAGGGGACATGTCGCAAAACTATGCATTATTTTTCTTCCTCTTCTTGTGGCTTCTCTTGTTGGCATTTCTCGAGTGGATGACTATAAGCACCACTGGCAGGATGTTTTTGCTGGAGGCCTCTTAGGTTTGTGGTAGTATTGATTTTAATTTAGGCTACATTTGGTTTGATAGCAAACAAGAGAGAGAGAGAGACAGAAAGTTAAGGGAAAGCCCTTATAAGATTTTATGAAATCTTGTGCTTAATAACTTTTTCTCTTGTGTTTACTATCAAACTAAATACTAGTTCTAGCTGATGGATTGATGCTTGACTTTACAACTATGTTACATTTTTGCAGGCTTCACAGTTGCAACATTGTGCTACTTGCAGTTCTTCCCACCCCCATACCATACCAATGGTAAAGTTTTGAACTCTTGTACATAAGTTCAATAAAAATTTTCTTGATACTTGTTTCTGTTTTACTTGGAAGTGTTACTGATGAAGATCTGTTCACATACTCTTCTTTTCTTGAGTCAATCTAAACAATTATTCTCTATCTTATCTGTTGTATTTCTCTAAAAAATTATTAAAATGCATTCAAGATACAATATTGGTAAATGATACAGAAAGTAACCTTCCTTAAATTCCTCATGTGTAACTTTATGTAGTAAACATCAATCGTAATTGGAAATTTGTTTGAACTTTGAACTCATTTCTAGTAGCTTACTATCCTCACCTAAGAAAATGGAAGTAGTGGGTTTTGATACAACACTTATCTTACATTACTACTACTACTACTACTAATTTGAATGTTCTCTTAAATTTAATGGTCTGTCCAGAATAGATGTGCACTATTAATTAAACTTTAAAAGAAAATTCCATTAAGAGTAAAATGGCTCATTTGTTTGTGCTGGCTGCCTTCTGAGGGTGTGGTTCAATGAAAGAAGCACCTGACTGGTACCTCAGGAAAAATAGAGGTACATCCTTCAACCAAAATTTCATCATTCCCATTATTTCTTAATAATGATATTTTTAGAAAGGGGAAACTAAGAGAAGAACCAGGATAACTATACTACATAAAGTGGATACTTGCCTTGGGTTCCGTGTGGGTCATAAAAGCTAAATCCAAATACCATATATCATATATGGTTAATACTTGCACACGCATAGCACATATTCTTACACTAGTTAAAAGAAAGCAAAAATATTACTAGCTGTAGTTTTTATTGTTTTATTGCATTGTCTTGTGATCTTGTCTGTAGCTGCATACGCCATACGGTGTTTAGGATTGGTCTTTGTGATATGTTTATTCACACTGATCCATATGTTAGATGTTTCAATGTAGATGAGTCTTTGGATCCTAGGATATCAATGCTATGTATAGTTACTATCAACTTATGTTTAATCATGATTTATTTGTGTCAACTTAGACAAGTTGTTAGTTTGGTTGCTTCTGAAATTAACTTTTCAGGCTATTTAAGTATTAGAGAAAGTTTAACGTGTGCACGCTAAAACGTCTGAACAGTTCTTGCAGTTCCCATTTCTTATTTCCTGAATTAAGTATTTAATTTTCTGTCCTAATATATCATTGATAGTATCTGTAATCTCAGCATTTTATAGTGCCGGCATGAAGAATGTTTTTTATATGTCATTTTGATTTTTTTAATTAGACGTGTCACTTCTTCAATTAGTTGTTTTTGTCCCATATTGTTGCTTTACTAATGTTTATGACTATGTTCTTTGATCTGGTGACTCATGGGAGAAGTAAAAAATGGCGTGATTGATTTTATTCTGCGAGGAGCAAATTTATCTAACTTTGTATTGGAATAGGCTCCAATTTAAACATACAGTACAGTTGAGTAGTTTGCCCGATGTTATGGGGGACATAGATATCATACTTGCAATGTTAGTTTGGTTGCAGCATGCCTTACAAATTTGCAAGTATCCATGCACCAACAAGTTCCCAGATAGTCAACCAGTACTGATTATGGCACATGGACTTGGGCATAAAATAAGTTTTAATAAACATAAAGTAAACATATTTAAAAAAACTTGGAAAATGAAAATTTTGCACCTTCTTGTATGGATTCTCAAGGCACCTTTTAACATTACTAAGTTCCAATAGCTTGTCTTGAATTCAGATTGGAACATCATCAACATGGCTTGAAGTTTATGATTGTGATGTACTGGAAACCACTTTCTCTAATTAAAAATGGATAAACAAGCATCTTATTTACAATCAAATAGATCAATCTTCTCTAAAAAGAATTACGATGGTATTTCCTATTACCACCCTTACATCACGTAAAGCATTAGTACAGGAATTAGTGCAAGGTTGGGTGAAGCCAAAGTAATAACTACTCATAAATATTGGATTGTTTTGTCTCTTGCTTCTTCTATAAACAGATTGAAGTTCCAAGATATTATGAGCTTCTGTTTAATTAGGCCTTCTTAATCTTTTGTTTTGCAGGTTGTAGGTCTTATGCATACTTGAGGATGTTGGAGGCAGCAAATGCCAGCGAACAACCCACCAATGCTGTGAGCACACTAAATGTGGATGCCATGAGGGTACAGCAACAAGTTGAACAAAATAACAATCAATTAAGGAGATTATCTGATACAAATGGTTCTAACAATACATTGGATGAGTTGGAATCTGGGATGAGGTAATTTTGTACATCTGCTAATATGTTTAGTCCTTATCTTGCTCAATGTGCTGTAAGCCTGTAACTATACTACTATTCACTATGTATAGTGGAACAATTTCCCTTCTCAGTTACACCTCTTTTCAGAGAAAGGTCATGTCTAGTTCTTGGCTATAAAAAGCATGTAGGTGCAGTAGTGAATTGTATAAAAATTGACTTAGTGAATCAAAATACAATTTGGAATTATCCTAATTGTACAATAATCAACAAAAGCTGCTGCATATATGGCAATTTGTCTTGCACCAAGTAAATTCCCAAATATGTTTTGGCTTTTACTTTTAGAATTAACTGAAATTGATCCTCTTAAAACTTAACACAGAGCTCAGGCAGAATTGATGCCGCTACTCCTGAAGGTCTCGAGGCGATGATTATATCTGGATGAAGCATATTCAAGGTTGCATGGATATGGGAAAGTGATAGAACTCATTGTATATTTTGTATGTGTGTAGTCTGGCAAGCTGGCAAGCTGAGAAAACATGGATCTGATACATTTGAAAGAAGGTTTAATTACTTAAATATACCCTGTGGTTTCCAAAACTACTTTGGCTGTTGCCAAAAATCATTCAGTGTCATCCCAATAGCTAATTTCTCATCTCATGCATCTATTGGGTAGTCGACCGTTTCTCTAGTTTCTGTATTATGGAGGAATGGCTGCAACGTTCACTCATGCAGTTTTTCTGCTCCCACCCAAGACACCCTAGTTGAGGCTCGTCACTCCAGCCCGCAACTTTTCCAGACTTAACCTATAAAAGTGAGAGATTGCAGTCCAAGCTTCCGTTGAATTGTTTGCTGGATATGTTGAAAAATCTAAGACTGATTAGCTAATGGAATTACTGTTTCTCTGCTTTTTCTTGGATTAGTGACTGGAATAATAGGAAAAACAAGCCGTCTGATATTTCAGATCGGAGAAGCCTCCGCGCTAGGAAGAAAAAGCTGTTAGAGTCCAGATTACAATGGTTAGACATTTTAAATTATTAAGCAGTTTCCATATTGTGTCAGCCTCCAGTCCAACAAAGACAAAACCATCATATTTGCAGGTAAATATGATGTTGGAATGCATTGGAACGTGTTTCTATTAGGAGATTTCACTTTCAAATCAAAATTTCAACTAATTAGTCAAAAATGTCATTGTCTATTTACTACTTTTCATTGGTTCATATTTCACAAATTGTACTTTTCATGTTTTACAAGTTTACTTAAATCAAGACTAGCAGCACTTAAAATGTTGGTTGGGATATTGGGATGTATCATTTTATCACTGATTCACATCTTATTTTTTGCTGCATGGTACAGTTGATGCATCATATATTTTGCCCAAATTAATTGCTTTTTTCAGTTCTTATGATATGTGATATATTTTCTGTAAAAATAGGCTAGATACAATATGTATTATTGTTGTACTCTGTGAAATGATATTATTCGGTTACATTTTTAGATGTTCTCAAACAATTAGTCGCCTAGTTGATTTCTTTTCTGCTGTGGACTTCTGATTGGATTTGTTTGGTAATTCGGTTGGTTTTTGGTTAGGAATTGGGTTCCTCTTGGGCCCACCGCAGCCCAACTTGCTCAAGTTGATCCCCTGCACGGAGGTCTTTCATATAACCTCACAATTGTATCAGGTTATATATAACGCGATATTCCTTCTCTTGAGATAATAGACGTTATTTACCAAAAGAAAAAGATATAGACGTTATTTACTATGCACAGATTTTTTTTGGTAATAATACTATGGATAGGTTAATCCGTCAAGCTGGTAGAACCTTTATGGGGATGAGTCTGGGATGGGTTTGGTCAGGTTGTGGGCGATCCACCAGTCCAGCCTGATGTCTTGGACTTCCAGCCCTAACATCAAACCCACCCACCTCATCTTCAATCCAATGGACTCAACCCTAACCCGCCAAAGGTATCCTTTACACTTTAAAAACGGGTTTATCATTTTCTAATACTAACTCTAAACTCAACATCCTTATTTCTTACCGATCCAACCTTAATATTTCTAGAGGTAAAGGTTTTTTTGGGTTGGCTGGACCAAAGCATTACCCCTAAATTTGTGTTTGGTACCATTGTTGTTTCTTCATGAAATATTTAGGGTTGATCAATAGAAATTGGTGTGGAATATGAATTATCACATAACATAATCAGAAATGTTTTCGGTTGATCAATGCAAATTGTTGTTTTTATCTGAAATGTCAAATTTGAAACATTTAATTCTAAATGACAATGATCAGTCACCCACATGCATTTTTTCAATTACAATGATTTTATGTGACAACAATTCATATTTCTCAACAATTTTTTTGATCAGCTACAAACATTTTATCAAAAAAATGGTACCAAACACAACTTTCATAGTTTTGAACTTTTGGTAGTTGGTAGTTCTTTTGGTAAGAATTGGTAGTTGTTAGTTGGGCTGTGGTCCCATTTATGACCAAAACGCGTAGACATAGTGGAGTTTTAGGAATCAAGTAGGGACTACCAACAAATCTATGCGTTCTGTACGCCCTCCCTGTCTGACTATCTGTCTATCTCCTTCATGAAGAAGACAGAGGACAAGGCGGTGACAGAAAGGAAAGAGAAGATACCCAACTCCATAAAAAACAAGGACAAGTGGACAAACACCTTGAAAAGGAGCCTAATCCATAATTCTCTATTATATTCTTGAAAGAAGTTACAAAATATGCTTTTCTAACCTTTGGTTGGGCACACTCGGTTTTTGATAGAAACGGTATACCGCACATCTAAGAGACTGTGAATGAACATTGGGCCGGGCCAGGTTGGGCCCACACCCCATGCCTGATAATTTAATTTTATAATTAAAATTAAAGAAAAATATATAATCTTTTTTATTTTATTAATATATTATTCCACTTGTCTTCAAAAAAATATATTATATGATATATACATATAAATGGGTTCGACACTTCGACTAATATCAGAAAAGCTTACAGCCAATCAACCATTATCATAAAACAGATGACCAATCAGTTGGTATTCATCAAAACTCACAGGGCTGTGCTTTGATTGTATCATAGGTTTTCCCTAGTTAAATATACCATATATTTTTCCAGGCTGGCCTGATATACTGCTATTACTATAAACACTAAATTCAGGATAAGCTTAGTTTGGATGATAAAAAGGCTTGGGCTGTTTTGAAGTTTCATGTGAATGACCTGTTATGATGGGTGTGGGGTAAAAGAATAATTACAATCAATATTTTTTAATTAAGAAAACAAATAAAGAGTTAAGTGGAGTAACGTATCATGTATAAGAAGCTTAAAAAATTAAGCAGATTTTTTAAGGGTTCGACAATGATATCTGAAAAGCTTGCAACCGATCAAGCAATATCATAAAAGTTGTAACTAAACAGGTGGTTTTTTTTCTTATCAATTCACAGGAGGGGGTTGATTGGTCAAAGTTCTTGCAATAACATCTATTTCTGACAGTATAGTTTTTTCCTTTTTTCTGAACTCCCAATATTTTCATCTTTTTTTAGAGTATGTCCCAATTGAAATCAAATGTGCCCAAATCAGCAGCACCCCTTCACCCCTTTGTTGAAACTTGGAAAAAAAGTTGAAACACCCCTAAATTAAACTCTATTGGTATCTATAGTTGCGGGTATCATAAATGTGGTAACCAATCAGGTGGTATTTATCAAAATTCATAGAGGGTTTTGATTTATTAAAGCATTTCCAGTACCATGTTTGTCTGGTATTTATCAAAATTTCTGGGTTGAGAAATGGAAGTGGGGAGTAAATTCCTCAACTGGGCCAAATAAATTTATATATTGTGGAGAATTCAATTAGAGAACATTACCAGAAACTTGGGAAGAATATCTAATTAAATCAACTGGAGTTCGTATCTTCAATAGATAGTTTTTACCTTGAGAATCCAAAACTGAAGAAAAACGTAAAAGTTGATAACAGATGATGTTATGTTTAACGGCTAGAAGTTTTAAGATGCAGCTAGTTAGCTTGGTCTGAAATTTGTCATTTCGCTAAATACCTACTTAGTGCACGAGAGAGGAAAGGAAAGGGGAGTACATATTTATGTATAAAAAATAAATATTTTGTTCTTAAAAAATAGTATGTAATGGAGGTTAAGGTTTAGTGGGTTGTTAGAAGGCTAAATCTCTTGTAACATGGGTAGAGACAGGTGGTGTCTTTTAATTGGGTCAGTAGAGAGGAGAATAAATTAAAGTTAGTAGAATCTATATAAGTTCCGGTGGTCTTTGTCCTTGGGGGTGTAAGACTAAGGTTGCGTTTGGTTGCAATGCAAACGCAAATATGTATATTACATATTATCCTCTTTTCCCTTCATGAATGTAAATACGGTTCGGATTTTAAATTGTTTTTGCACTCATCTTGTACTTTTAAAATCAGTGATAAGTGTGGGCTCAATAATTAAATGCTCCAATACCTTTAACTTTGGTTAAAAAATTAATTATCAAAAAGAATATAAAATTGTATCCAAAAAAATAGGTACAATAATGTTATATTTTCAATGTACAAAAATATAAAAAAAATACATTTTTAATATACCCAATTTGGTGTTTGTATTGCAAACAAACGGAGCCGAGTCACTTCCCCCAATGTTCTGGATGGTAATCCATGATTTACCGCTCAATAATTAACCGATCCAAATTTGAACAAAAAATATGGAATATATTTAAATTTGCAAGCCCATCCAATTAATGTGCCAGCTTTCGCTTTAATGTTTGCTTTGTCTGTCTTTTGTTTTTCATTGACCAACAATGACCACTCTCGTCTCTCGCCCTTTGTTTCTTTGTGTAGCCTGGAGCTGGAGAGATTCAAATTAATTAGTTGTTTGTTTTGTTTCTGTTACACATTAGAAAGGGACGAAAAAACAAGGCAAAATAATTCCTCATTTCCTCGGTTCCTCCATTTCATCTCCCCGGTTCTCACCATAGCTTTTGAGTTGAGCCTCATTTTTACGACATTTTCGTTCTTCTGATTTTGTTCAGGTCTGTTCTTTTACCCATACTTTCTATCCTTCTTTACTTTCTTTTCAAAGCTCAGTAACGATCTTTATATGATGAATTTACCGAGTCTGCAATCTCGTTCGTCCTTCAGTATTTTGAAATTCCGTTTTGGCGGTTGTTGAGAAAAAGGTTTTGTTGTATACAGGTTGGAAATGTCTATTTCAGATTGATTGCGATTATTTTATGTGTTTGAAATTGATACGGAGAAACCCTATTATTAAATTCTATTCACGTACGTGTTCTGATCGGGTTATGATTCAGAAATGCAGTTTTCTTTATTTAGTTTAGTAAAACATTCACATTTAAAACATGATAGCAATGCTCATTCTTGTGGGTTACAAATAGATGACACCAATAACGTCGGTAGATATGATTGGAAGATTGTTTTCTTTGTTGAACCACCTTTCAAGCGTATATAGTTTTTGGTTTTTTTGCGTTGAACTATCTGATAAATCACTTATGTTCGAAATTGGTTCACGAAACTGGGAGACATCATTTTGGTCTGGGAAATCAGGTAATACTAAATGCCACAAAGTTATTGTCTGCTAGGTGTTGCGAAGAAGTTTCTTTGGTTTCGACTGATTTATGTGCCTTTTCGTTATTGTTTAGATTATGTGTTTTAACATGAGTTAGGTATCTGCTGTTCTTTTTAGTTATGTACTTTTTTTGTATGTAAAAAGATCTGAAAACTCTATTGCGCACAATGTAGCAAATATGGCTCGAAGAAGTAGCACCTTGTATTTTTGATTCAGAACCTCCACTCAGCAGTAGGGGTGCTCACGGTTCGGTTGGTGATTTTCTGGACTGAACCGACTTGTTCGGTATTAAAATTTAACCGAACCAAAACTGAACCGATGCAACCGGTTAACCACGGTTTTTTCGGTTTTTTTTTATGCCTCAAAATTAAAAAAAGTGGGAACTGGGAGAGAGTGGGGAGTTTGAGAGAGTGTCACAGAAGTAGGAGGGATCGCTAGTGTCGGAGGCCGTCGGTCATTCGGTCGGAGGGCGGAGCGCCGAAGGCCGTCGGTCCGTTGTGGAAGAACGAAGAAGAGAACTGGGAGAGTGGGAGTCTGAGAGAGTGAGAGTCCGAAAGAGAGAGAGAGCACTGAGTGAGAGAGGGAAAGAAAGGGAAAAGGGAAAGGCACGACAGGTTTTAGGCTGTTGTGGAAGCAGGAGGGATCGCTAGTGTCACCAAAGTAGGAGGGATCGCCAATGTCGGAGGCCATTGGTGATTCGGTTGGAGGGCGGAGTGCTGAAGGCCATTGCTTGTCAGTCCGTTGGGGAAGAATGAAGAAGAGAACTGGGACTGGGAGAGTGGGAGTCTGAGAGAGTGAGAGTCCAAGAGAGAGAGAGCTCAGAGAGAGAGAGGGAAAGAAAGGGAAAAGGGAAAGGCGTGGGTGTCAAACAGGCTGTTCACTAGTCTGGCTGCCAGTCTGCCAGATTGGCGAACTGAAAAGTCTTAGTAGATTTTCAAAAAAAAAAAATAAAACATAATATATAATATTAATATATATATATATAATATTATATAAATATATATTACTGTATATATATCGGTTGGTTCAGTTAATTGCTGTTTTTTTTAAATGGTTAACCGAAACCGAACCGACCGGTTTGGTTAACTGATTTTTCGATTCGATTTTGGTCGGTTCGGTTTTTCAGTTTTTTTTGCTCACCCCTACTCAGCAGTCTCAACTCTTAGTCGTTTTGGTGGGGTTCTCCCTTTAATGAATTCACCACTTACAAAAATAAAAATGTGGGCATAGTTTTCAAGACACCAAAGTGACAGGGGGGCGCCTAGTCGCCTAGGCTATGTTTTTTATTTAAGTAAAAACATGTATCCTAGGGTAGTTCCCTAGGTTCCATAATCATATTTCCTTAATAAATATCCATAATTTTCATAAGAAAAGTATAAACTTCATGTTAAGGTGTAGAAAATCAACAAATTCCAACATATTCATGAGAAAAAAAAAAGAAAATTCGAAAAATATAGGGGCTGAACCCCTATTTCTGTTATAGGGGCTGAACCCCTATTTCTTATTATAAAAATGTCTATTTTATAATTATAACCTCAAAAAATTAAGAATATAAAAGTTTGTTATAACACGCTATAGAAAACTGCTTGGCGATTAGGTGAGGCGAGACTCCCAAGGGTGCCTTGTTGCCTAGGTGCCTTGACAGCTATGCTTCTGGGCTTCTTTTCACTAGATTCAGATGTGAACTTAAATAGAAAAAGTAGTTTTTTTTTGTGGCTTTTGGGGCGTGGGGAGGTCTCTTCTACAACAAGCCAGAGATCCTACCAACTGATCCACCATCAATTGATATTGAAAAAGTAGTTGGGATGGACTAGAGTTAACCTTTGACATGAGCAAGATATATTTTTTTTGATCAATAACAGAACTTTAATTAAACTTTCAATATAGAAAGAAGTACAAAGGACTAGTGAGGGGTAAACTCTCTTGACCCTCCCCAAAGAAATATAATTCAATTACAGAAGGGCCTAGAATGGTTGTTCCCTTCCCACCCCTTGCTTAGCAAGGGTGTCTGAAAAAGAGTTAGCACACCTTTTTACCCATTGAAACTGAATGTCCACACCTTGTTCTAGCCAATTGAACATTCTTTTTTCGTTAGCAAACTTCCAAAGACCACTCTTCTCTTTCGACAAGACCCCCCCCTTTCAACTAATGTTATGCATCTTTGTTCTTCTTAATATAAAAGATTTTTATTAAAAATAAAGAAAAAATGAGATCCTCGCTTCCTCTTCATCCTCTTCCCCTTCCTCCTCCTAAACCCCTCCTCTTAAGGAGGCTTATGCCTCTTGCGTTCTAAACTACGCCTCACGCCTCACGTCACGCCTCCGCATTTTAAAACATTGCCCAGGATTACCTTCACTACTCCCATCAAAGTTCATCTTAGTAAAGAAGCCAGAGGCCGGGGGAGACCAAATGGAACTTATCTTGGTTTTAGCAGGTGCTGAGTTGGCCACTTCCTTCCAATTTCTTCTTATCATATCTATGGATATATTCCCAAATAAATCTAGAAATTTCACCCAATGCACCACTCTAATAGTAATTGTTTCAATAAGGACCTCCTTATTCCTCTCCTTTTCATTAAAGATCCTTGAATTTCTTTCCTCCCACATGGTCCAACATATGGCAGCTCTAACACATCTCCAAAGAATTCTACCCCTCTTCTTTGGCCACCTAAAAAAAGGAAGAGGCAAACAAGCTTTGTACATTTGGCGGAATCATCCATCTACAACCAAATAAAGAGAGAAACCATTCCCAAATATATGAAACAAGAGAGCAAGATATATTATTAAGTGGTATCAACTCTCACCATTTGCCTTACAAAGGATACACCAATTAGGGGATAGGCACCAATTTGGTCTTTTTCTTTGCAGCAAGTCACAAGTGTTACATCTTCCCAGAAAGGCTTCCCAACAAAATGCACCAATCCTTGGGGGAATCGGCTTGCCCCAAACTTCTAGAACTAGAAGGTCCGAAGGGCTATACCGAGCTATCAGAGGGTTGTGTTAAGGCCTTAAAAAAGGAAGCACAAGAAAACTCACCAGAAGAGGTCAGAGTCCAAAGTCTACTACCCCTTCTCCTTGGGTCCAATACCACCCCACCCAAGGTCTGAATTAAAGTAGAAACATGGCTGACTTTAGCATCCCTAAGGCCCCTTTTCAAACCCAGATCCCAATCAAAGCCAAGAAATGAATCTGAAGGTACCACAAAGGTGGACACAGGCTCATTTTTAAACACAGAGATGGAATACAAGGAAGGGAATTGTTCTTTCAAGGTCACATGACTCACATCTCCCACCCAAGTATGTTCCCCGAACTTTACCCGGTTTCGAAAACATAAGTCATACCTGATGAATGGCAAGAAAGAAGGAAGAATGGCGTGTATAGATTTCCAAGGAGAAGCTCATGTAGCCCTTGCCAAAACTCCAACATCTTAGCCATTTGCAATTTGCCCATGAATGCTCACAATCACCTTAGTCTATCACTTATCATCCTCCCTTGGTAGCCTCCATAACCATTTCCCAAGTAAAGCCTCATTTCTCCTTTGAATACTTCTTATCCCCAATCCACCCACCTCCTTAGACCACCTCCTGCCCAACTCTATGATCTCTTTTTTCTTCCCTCGGTTCCCACAAGAAGTCTCTCATCAATTTTTCCAACACCTTGCTTACTCCTTTTAGGATCCTAAATACATATGAGTAAATTGGCAAGTTGGTCAAGGTAGACTTAATCAAAGTGATTCTATCACCAAAGAAAAGGTAATTCCTCTTCCACGAAGCTAGCCCCTCTCTTAGTGAACTCATCCACCATCGGGTTCAAAAAACTATTATTTCTCGGATTATCTCCTAAAGGCAAACCAAGATAATTTATAGGCTACTCAGAGGTTACACATCCTAGAATTTCTGCCCTCTCAGCCAAGTCTCTCTCATCCATATTGATCCCCACCACACAACTTTTGTCAAAATTCACTCTTAAGTTCGACATTTTTTCAAAGAGTTGCACCACCAATTTCAAATTCCTAACCCATCTAAGCTCCTCACCTTCACAAAATAGAATGGTATCATTGGCAAACTATAGGTGGGTGATTGGTACCCTATCTTTGCCAACTTTCCATCCCCTCACTAGGTGTCTAGAATCTTTCCTAGTTATTAGTCTGCCCAAAACTTTAGCAATTAATGTAAATAGAAATGGGGAGAGGGGGTCCCCTTGCCTAAGGCCTTAATTGTAGGGAAATGATCTATCACTACTTCATTCACAAAAATAGAGTAATGGCAAGAGTCTATACAACCTTGAATCCACTTACACCATTTAGCCCCAAACCCAAAATTTTCCAAGACTTGCAGTAAGAAGGACCAATCCACCAAGTCATAAGCCTTCTCTAGATCCAACTTACACATGATTCCTTTTCTCCCACTTCTTTTCAAGTCCTCTACACTCTCATTGGCTATTAAGATCTAATCCGTTGTTTGCCGATTACTAACAAAGGCACATTGATTCTGGGAAATGAGGTGAGGATGCACAACCCTAATTCTCCTTGAGAGCACCTTAACAATGATTTTGTAAAGGTTGTTTACCAAACTGATAGGTCTGAACTCCTTAGGATGAATAACACCACTCTTCTTTGGAACCAAAGCTATTTTGGTAGAATTCAACCCTGGGTTTATTACACCCCTCTCAAAAAAATCATTGAAGACTCTCTGAAGGTCATGTTTCAAAATGTCCCAACAATCTTGGTAAAAAGCCATTGTAAAAACCATCTGGTCCTGGTGCAAAGCAGCTTCTTTTTTTTCCTTCCAACTCAAATCTCCTTTCAAGCCACACCTTAAGCTCCTCAGGTACCTTTGGCCAATCCAACCCTTCTAGCCAAATTCTTCCATTTAGGGGTCTCCTATAAATAGATTTGAAGTGATCCACAAAGGCCCCAACTATCTCAGATTGTTGGGTGAGTGTTACATCATCAACCACCAATTTAGAGAGTAAATTTTTCTGATATTGCCTCTTAAAATTTTGCAGTCAATTGGAAACTTTAGGTTCTCCCTGCTACAAGGTGATTGCGACTGGTATAGGCTGTAGAAGTGTTAGTGGTAACACAATGCATGGTGACTCATGGGTTTTTCCCAAGATCAAGTCACATTTGCAGCATATGTTGATTATATCCTACCTCAGTACCACCTTTCCTTATGGATTTTTCCCAAGATCGTCACGTTTGCAGTATATGTTGATTAATAACCATTGTTTGGGCATATATGATAATAGGAACTACTTTGTCCTGGTAGATACTGGCCATCACCATTTTGTTATTCATCCTCCCTGGATCAGAGGCTCTTTTCCCTCAGTCATTAGACTTTTAACTACACTATGCTACAATTATCAATTGAATTGAATACTAAATCCTTAATTGCCATTTACCAGTTACTTCTCCAACATCAGTCCATAAGTAATGGGTCTTGGAATATGTGATTTCATTTCTATTAATATCAGCCTCACCAGTTTTTATAAAGTTCCATGTTTCTTTCTCTCTTTCTCTCTCTATCATATTTATTATGAAAATATTGCAATATTATAACTTATATTTGGGCTGACAAGCAATAGAATGTGGGATCAGGTTTGAAAGCATCCATTTTTTTTTTCTTTTTGATCAGTAAAGTTTGAAAATGTTCATTTTGTGCTAAAAATTCCATAGTGCCATAGGTTAGGCCGTTTCAACCCATCCCTCCCAATACCCCAGATAATTGGGACCAATAACAAGACTACAACTATTTATGGTACATTTGTTTAATAAAATTTGAATTTAAAAAATATATTAAAAGAAAATATGGGATTATGTCCTAGAATGCATAACTTTTCTATATTTCTATGGAATCATTGGCTGAGTTAATCCTAATTTAAGTTTTGTAGCATATGCAGTTGTAACATTGTATCTACAACTGCCTGAATTATGTTTTTAGTGTTTGGTTCCAGCAAATTGTCTTCCTCATTTTGACTTGATGACTAATGAATTCAAGTTGATTAGTGAGATTCCCTGCTCATCAGTCTTGTAAAACAATAAGACCATAATGTTCTTTTTAAGGAAACTTATGCATAATTTTTTTATTCTTTAAATTCATTTTTCATGTTTAGCACTGGAGTAAAACTTGAACTATTTTATCATAATGTAGCACTTCAGTTTTCTTAAAATCATTAAAATTTTCTTCACTTAACTGACCTTTCTATTTTTCTTATAGTTTGTGAAAATGCCAGAGATTCAGTTGGGTGTTCACACTATAAGATCCCATGGAGTTAGAGTGGCAAGAGTACATATGCATGATTGGTTAATACTTCTACTCCTTGTAGTGGTAGAGGTAGTGTTGAATGTTATAGAGCCATTTCACCGCTTTGTTGGTGAGGACATGATGACAGATCTGAAGTACCCGCTGAAAAGCAATACTGTGCCCTTTTGGGCTGTCCCAGTATGTTTCCCATTCTAAAAATATCTCACCTTTGTTATTATATTCAGAAAACTCTGCTTCCTCTAGAAATTGAATTCATTTTACTTATAAGTTATAAAAGAAACAGGTGAACTGTCTTTCTCTAAAGTTTTTTCCCCTTCTTATAACAGGTCCTCGCAATATTGTTGCCTTTTGCAATATTTTTTGTGTACTACATTTACAAAAAGGATGTTTTTGATTTGCATCAAGCCATATTGGGTAGCTCTTGTGTCTTTTTTTCTGGATTTCTTTAAATAAATTACTGTTGTTTGCATGTTAAAGCTACATGTCTATAGTGCTGAATTTTTTACATATTTAACCCAGGCCTTCTATTTTCTGTGTTGATAACCGGGGTTTTAACGGATGCAATCAAAGATGCTGTTGGTCGGCCTCGACCTGACTTCTTTTGGCGTTGTTTCCCGGATGGAAAGGGGGTATGTTTTCATTTTCAGAGAATCTCTCTCTCTCTCTCTCTCCATGTATGTGTGTGTATTCACTTATGCACATATTTGGATCTGTATGTACCATGGATGCAATTTGGTGGTTAGATTCAACCAAAATTTTGGTGTTCTTAGTTCTTACAGTAGTCATAGCTCTCTTTTTCTCTCTACCTGAATGCATATATTTACTTATTTATTTGTGTGTGTACTAGTACCTTGCTAAGATTACATACTACTAATGACCTGCATTTTTTTTTTGTGAAAATGATATGCACATCCAGGTGTTTGATAATGTGACTAAGAATGTTATCTGTCATGGGGACAAAAGTGTCATCAAGGAGGGGCACAAAAGTTTTCCTAGTGGGCATACTTCATGTAAGTAGCACAATCAGATGATAATACATAGTGTATAAGGAAAGTATGTTGTTTGTGAAGTCTTTCTATTTTTCCTAATGTAAGTAATTGGGTCCATAGGGTCGTTCTTAGGAACTTAATTTGTCCTTTATTTTTCTGATTACATAGTTTATTCAGGACATTATGGAGACACTCAGACATCTCTTTGCTTATTCTTACAGGGTTGGTCTGATTGGGTTCTATTGATATATATGCAGGGTCTTTTGCAGGTCTTAGTTTTCTTGCATTGTATATTTCAGGAAAAATTAAAGTATTTGACCGCAGGGGTCATGTTGCAAAACTCTGTGTTGTCTTCCTTCCCTTGCTTGTTGCAGCTCTTGTGGGCATTTCCCGAGTTGACGATTATTGGCATCATTGGCAAGATGTATTTGCTGGAAGTCTTATAGGTATGCACCTCTAATGATCAAATTTAGTTTCTTTTGGTGCATTTGTTGGCCAAAGGAATTCTGATTTTATACAGCAATCATTTGTTGTTAGTTAATGAACTTATTATCTATTCCTTTTTTTTTTCATTTTGTGCAGGCATAACTGTAGCTTCGTTTTGTTATTTGCAGTTCTTTCCACCTCCATATGACATGGATGGTATGTTTATTTTTATTCTTTAATCCATATTTATTGAAGATATACATAAGTTTTCCTTTTTGGCTATTAGTCCATAGTTCCATTTTTTTTGGTTAAATGGTCCAAAGTTCCATATTTATTGAAGATATTTGTAAATATTTGTTGGGTACCCTACTTTATCATATAAAAAGGTATTGGTCTCCAACATTGCTGTGACTTCTGAGTTCTGAGGTGTCTGGCTATCTGCCATGACTACTTTAGGAGACCTGAGATGCAGGTGCATTTAGTATATTGACTTTTAATAACATGAGGGCTTTTCTTGAAACTTGGAATGAGAATTTGATCTTATAATTAAAGCACCATGCTCCGACAGCATAACCATGCCATTGGGGTACCAACCTAGAATACTCACGAGGAACAGTAGCAAGTACCAGCACCTGCAACAAAAAATAAGACATATACTTTGTGTTTGATTTATGGTGTTCCAACTTATTCAATCTCCATCCATAGCCACTAAATCAAATGTAATCAAATTATAAAAGAAGAAAAGGGAACTAAAAATATTGGTGGCACCTCAGTTTCAAAAAATAGTTTTTAGCTTCGAGATGATTCATGCCTACTTAGGGTGTGAAGAATCTATACTCTTTGATCAGAAAGTCGTCTGGTGGGTATTATTTTGGAGGTTAGTGTTATAGTACGCTTAGGGTGCTAGATTGTGACCCCTCTTAATGACCTTTGTGCTCTCTAGGTCTTTCTATAGGCAGAAACTCTAGGAAGAGTGAACTTCAGAGCCTTGTGTTGTATTACAATGGCTCTTGACCTCCATATTTCAATTTTCTTTTTCCAGCACTATATACAAATTGCTCTTAACCTCTGGTTTAAGAGCAAATATTTAAATCTAGCCTTTGTTGCTAAATGTCATTTCTGAAAACTATGTCTTGCCAAACATGTGCAGATTTTTTTAGTGTAATATATTAAAATGTACCATACCAACCAAGAGGTGGCTTGTTGGTGTATTAGCTGGTTTGTTCCAGCAGTGATGCGGAATCAAATCCCACAACCACCACTTTGGGGAGAAAAGGGGTCAAGGGGAGGTTTAGTAGTGCATAACACCGAATACCAAAACAAAAAGTACCATTTTGCATATATTATAAGTGTTAATGCTATAAAGTATATCTAGAAGTATCCATGCAGTATCTTTACCATATCTGATAGGTACGTATCTAGCACAGGTACACTAGGCTTGTACGATTATATAGGTATTATAGTGAGTGGGATGCAATGTAATGGGGACCTGCTCTATCAGAACAACAGGGGGAGATATGTTTTGAAAAGTTAGATTAGGACGATATAAGTCAAAGGGGCTTAGAAAAATTGTTTTATGAGAAAATGTGCTTTTCTGTTGTAAAATTTGATTGATTTTAATTTAGTATGTAAAAGAGAAAATTCCTATGATCTTCATATCGTGGGAATAAGAGAAATTAAGGTTTTGAATTAGGGTAAATCTATGATGCTGGAAAGATATGATGCGGAAGAACATTGACCAATCAAAATCCCCCAAGAATTTTGATGAATAGCACATGATTGGTTAACACATTTATGATACTGGTCAATTGGTTATAAGTTTTTCCCAGTATCATAGTTGAACCCTTTGAATTATGAGATTTAGATCTGAAAGCGATAAGATAAATAGAAGAAAGATTGCAGATAAAGAGAAAAGAGGGAGAAAGAAGAAAACCAGACTCTTACCTCTAGATAAATTCAAAAACACACTTTTCATTCCACTAATTCTCATCTAAAATTTCAATTACAATGGCTCTGTTTATAGACTTGACATAAGGGATTAGATCTTCCTTTACAGAATACAATTATTTGGACTGGGAAACTGACCAAAAGCAACCGTTAATTGCTTTAGAACTAAGGCAAACCTATTGGTGACCTATATGGACTCTCAAATCTCAAATATGGATTCCAACTCTTAAAACAACTTGAAATATCAATTACTAATCCAACTACTACTTGGTAAACCAAAAAACAATTCCAAGATTGACCAAAGAAATAGAAAGACATAATCCCATCATAAACTGACTCATTATCTGTAAATTGGCTATACCTCTCTCAAAACATGTCCGATGTAGGATGTAAAGGAGAAAGTCCCAGTAGAATGTACATGGTGGGTGAAGAAGAGAAAGAGATAATATCTAAAATAGAGAAGAAAGAGAAATAAAAGTTGCATCTTTAGAAGAAAAAGAGAGATAAGGCACTATTATTTGCAAGAAACTTCAATATAAATTTTCATTCCATTAATTTGAGTCTTAAGTTCTAATTATAATGACCATTTCAACTAGGAAACTGACCCAAAGCAAATTCTAGATTTCTCACTACTTTAAACTTTAGCTCCTAAAATAGGTAACCCATAGGGACACAAGATAAGGACCTCTAGCTCCTAAAATAACTTTCATAAAACTTTAGTAATCATATTACAACTAAAAAATCCCAAAACAATTCTAAGATTGACCAAAGAAATAAGAAGACCCAAATCCTGTTTTTTATTTTTTATTTTTTATTTTTCTGAGAAAAGGTAAGGTATAAATTTCATTACTGAAAAAAATAATCATTTTGTAAAATGGGATTGAGTGTGTAGGGCTAAAAATGATGGGGGTTTGGGAATAAGGAGAGTAAGCACTTTCAACAAAGCCTTGTTGGGTAAGATGGGTTTGGAGGTTCAGGAGGAAGAGAGAAGAATTATGGAGAATAGTAGTGACCTACATGTATAGGGTGGTGAACTTTCGGTGGGGTAAGAGTGTGGAAGAGTGTTATGAGATATTATTCGTTGCTGCAGCTGCTTTTCTCGTGGAAAGTGGGGGATGAGCTGTGTCCAAGGCTGTATAGCTTGAGCAGAAAGGGGCTGTCTATTTCTCAATGTTATCAGATAAGACAAGGGGTTGAAATGTGGTGTCCTGTCTGGCTTTTCCGTTACCAAGAAAGGATCATTTGAAAGTGCTATGAAATAAGACAGGGTTAGAAAGAAGGAAGTTTTGGGGAAGATGGCAGAGCTGGACAGGTTGGAAGAGGAGGATAATCTATCTTGAGAAGGCAGGGAAGAAAGAGAGGCTTTAGGAGGGGAGCTGGACAGGTTAATTTGTTTTGAGGAGATTCTTGGAGGCAAAAATCAAGGGTTTCGTGGGTGAAAGATGGGAACGAAAATATTGCTTTTTCTCAGGCTATCGTTAGGGGGAGAAGAAGAAGGAATACTAAGAGGTTGGAGGAAGGGAAGAGAATTATAGATGACCAGCAGGGTATTGCAGAGGAAATACACAAGTTTTATGTGAACCTGTACAAAGCACTACCTAGAAGAAGTTTCCATCTGGGGGGCTTGGAGTTTGTAAGGTTGAAGTAGGGTTTGAAGGTATGGATAGAAAAGGAATTTGATGAGGAGGAAATATGGAGCACAATTAAGAATATGAAAGGGGATAAGGCACTTGGGCTGGATGGGTTCTAAATTTTGTTATTTTAAGAAGTGCTAGAATATGATTAAAAAAGATATGATGGAAATGTTCAAGGAGCTGTGGATGGAGAATGTTTTTGTATTTGGTTGTGGGTCCTATGCAAATGGCATATGTTCAAGGGAGACAAATATTAGATGGGGTTTTAATAGAAAGTGAATGTCTGGATGTGAGAAATAGAAGTGGGGAGGGAGGGATGATCTGTAAAACTGATTTGGAGAAGGCATATGATCATGTGGAATGTGGTTTTCTAGAGGAAGTATTGGGAAGAGTGGGTTTAAGGGAAAAATGGAGGAGTTGGATGTTTGCATGTGTCTCGTCGATTTCTTTTTAGGTTTAGTGAATGTGGTCTCAACAAAATTCTTTGATGCTTCAAGGGGTTTGAGACAAGGGTACCCCCCTCCCCTTTTTGGTCAATAAGGGGACCCCCTTTCTCCATGGTATTTGTGCTAGTTGTGGAAGTTTTGAGCAAGTTGGTGAATAGAGGGGTGGAAGATGGTTTGATTAATGGCTTCAGATTGGGAAAAGAAAGGCTGAGCATTACATATCTTCAATATGCTGATGATACCCTGATTTTTTAGATGCGTCAATGGAGCAGGTGCTAAGATCGAGTCAAATGTTTTCAGCCATTGTCTGGGTTAAAGATTAATCTCAGTAGAACTGTTATGATTAGAGTGGATGACGTTCAACCGTTAGTTTTGGTGGAGTGTGCTGGTTTGTCAGGCTGCCTAATCAGTGAGTTCCTCTTCACTTAGGTCTGCCTATTGGGGTAAGGGCTATTGCGACTTGCCTCTTCCATTTGGCAACCTGTTTTGGATAGAATTGAGCAAAGGTTGATTTACCATTTGTCCCTCCTTAAGGTTCCAGCATCAGGGATAGAAGAGATAGAAAAGCTTCATAGGGATTTTTTATGGAATGTAAAGGTGGAAAAAAGAAATTTCATTTGGTAAATTGGGATTGAGTGTGTAAGGCTAAAAAAGATGAGGGGTTTGGGAATGGGGAGAGTGGGCACTTTCAACAAAGCATTCTTGGAGAAATGGATTTGGAGGTTTGGGAGGGAGAGGGAAGAGTTATGGAGAAGAGTAGTGGCCTGCAAGTATGGGGTAGTGAACTTTGGGTGGGATTAGACCTGTTCATGGGCCGGGTAGCCCGATGGCCCGGCCCGCACCCTGGTCGGGCTTGGTCATGTAATTAGATCCGCGGGCCTGACCTCGGGCTTAACATAGTAAGCCCGATTGTGTTACGGGCCGGGCTCGGGATTTGTCAAAAAAGCCTGACTCGAGCCCAGCCCGGCCCGACTCAGCATTATATATTTTATAAAATACATAATATGTATTTTATATATTATATAAAATATATAAATAATATAATATTTATTAATATATATATATATATATATTTATAACTTAATATATACATTTTTTTATTTTTTTCTTTATAATTTCTCTCTCTCTCTCTCTCTCTCTATTCAGCCACTTCAGCAGTAGTAACAACATGGGCTAAATTTCGGGCTCGGGCCCAGGCCCGGGCTTTGGGCTTTTTATGAGGGCCGGGCTTGGGCCTTAGAAAAATCTGTTAATACAGAGTGAAAGCCCGGCCCGAGCCCGGCCCATGAACAGGTCTAGGTGGGATGCAAGGGAGGTGAGATCTGCTTATGGGGTGAGCGTGTGGAAGGGAATTATGAGATACTATTTGTTTCTGCAGCTGTTTTCTTGTGGGAAGTGGAGTAATGGGTCTAGTGCAAGATTTTGGGAGGATGATTGGTTAGGTGTGGGGAAACTTTGTGAGTTGTGTGTCCAAGGCTGTATAGCTTGAGCAGAAAGGGGCTATCTATTTCTCAATGCTATGAGATAAGACAAGGGGTGGTAGTGTGGTGTCCTACCTTCAGAAGACCTCTGCTGGACTGGAAAGTGGAAGAATGCTGGGGCTGCTGGCTAAATTGCAAGAAGTAGTGATTGATCTGGAGCGGGCGGATACAAAATGGTGAAAGGAGTGTAAGAATGGGAGTTTTACAATCAAGTCTCTTTACAATATGCCTTGGTCAGAAATCAGGTGGAAGCCTCTTCAGTTCAAGGAATTTGGGGGAACTTAGTTCCCCCAAGAGTATAGGCTTTTGCTTGGTTGGTCTCAATGGACAACATTCTTACTCAAGGCAAGCTAAAGAAGAGAGACTTTTCATTTGCCAAACAGATATGTTTTATGTCTTTCGGAGGAAGAGAATAGCCTTCATCTGTTGGTGAGCTGTAGTTTTGTGAAAGCAATTTGGCGCTATTTCTTCCAACTTTTCAGAATGGGTGGGTGGTTTCCTAGTGGGTCTATGGAGATCTTTGAGTCATGCCCAAGAGTTTTTGGGGACATCAAAGCTAAAATTTTATGGAGCTGTATCCCTTTTGCTGTTTATTGGGAAGATGAAAAGCAAGGAAAGGCTAGTTGCAGTCATTAGTGCAAAGCTTATGGATTGGATGTTAATTCTTCCAGAATCTGAAGGCTTCAAAAGAGAAGACTTTGGCTCGGACTTCTGGCGCACTTCGAATTTCAGCTGATGTTTTAAGTTGTTTAGCTTTTTAATTTTTTAAAGTGTTTATTTCTGAGTGTATTTGTGTAGTTTGTTGGTGATAACTTTTCACCTGATCGGCTGATCTTCTTGTACTTTTTATTATTATTAATGAATGTTCTTATTTATTTATCTTAAAACGAAGATCATAACTCACTCACATATCCTCATTGACTGACACTCTATCACTAAAATGAGCATAACTCCCTTAAAACATGCTGACAAGATTTTGAGCTTGTTGTGTAGACAATCATGCAAAATGGAGCAATTTTGACCCCAAAAAAACAGGATGAAAGAAAAATGATATGATTGTGTCTTCAACTTTTTTTTTTTGTATTTCTTTGTCTATGGATTCTTTCCTCGTTTCCATGTCTGCATCGCTTCAGCCTATTTGAGTGAGTTATGTCAGTTTTCAAGGAATTAAGGCCAATTGACCCTTGAGATTTGAAATGACCAAATTGGTCTTTCTCAAGAAATTCTTTTACAACCTAATTATTTTAATACTGTCTTAAAATAATGGTATAGATATAGATGTATATTTTATTACTTTGATATTTTCTCAAGAAATTCTATGATTTTTATAATAGTATAGATATAGATGTATGTTTTATTACTCTTAAATGCCACTATTTCTAAAATTGACCCTTATTTATTTCGAAGGTAGGAAATGTAATTCACTGCTTTTCATCCATTTTATTCTCTCTTATTAACTTCCACATTTTAGGTATTAACTCATACTCCCTCTCGTTAACTCCTATATTCAAGGAAATTTGGTTTCTCACCATTAAATTCTGCTAATTAACTCTATAGCCCATAATTTTAATGGTATAAAAACCAATGTTTTTGTTCCTCACCATTAAAAACCACTGTTTTAAAATAGACCTAGAAACAAAACCATATTTCAATGGCATCATACTCAAATAATAGTAAAAAATGCAAAAAATTATAAAAAATAAAGAAGTTTGTAGAAAAAGCAGGCACATCTCTAATATTATATATTGATTTAAGAAAAATAAGTGTGATAAATAAGAATTAGTTTTATTAACAATGGAAATGAAACATACAGAAGTAGGAAAAAAGAATTAATGTCTAAGCTGTGATTCATCGATTGGGTCAAATGGGTCAATGGTTCAAACAGTTAGGTTATCAGGATGTTGACCAAGCCAATGGATTTTTTGCCCAAAAAACACCCATAAATTTGGTCCATGACAGGTCAATCAGTCCAACCATTTGATTGAATTGCAGGTCGAAATACACTTATTTAAACGAGTAAGAAGATTTAATGCCAAGTCTTTAGGTTGAAAGACAATAAATCCACTATTACAGCAGGCTTCAATGGTCTTTGTTATATGGGTTCTAAAAAGGTCAATGAAATTATTATTATTATTATTATTATTATTATTACTATTATTATTATTATTATTATTATTATTATTTACAAAGCTATTGTATAAATTCTATATAAGACATATCAAACACATAATAATATATGGGAAACTATTCAGAAAGTTATTACTTATGGAACCAATTCGTCAATTTTATTATATTGCACAGGTTGTTCATTTATAAAATTTTAGTTGTAAGGGTTTGACTTGGCAACTTTTTCATGTACAGAATTACCCTTATTTTTTCATGGATGATACTATGATAGGACTTGAAGCTAAAAGTGAATTCATAATTTGGAAATGAAGTATTTGCCTTTATCCCCAGGGAAATAATTACTGTTCCTTAAAAAGAGCTGTTGTGAGCTTGGTGCAGAGATTTGGCCTTTATGCATTCCTATCACAAGACGTTCCGTGTCTGTTCTCATGATAATTATTGGAGATAGGCCATCTGGGTGTTGTGCTGCTCCATATGCTTTGATTAGTACAAAACACATTTCCTCTAAAAAAAGTGACTAACTTTTAAGATGGCAGTGGGTGTTAACCACCTTTCTCATTGGTCACATTTGATATCTTTTGGCCTTTGTTACGGTTAATACAATCGTTGAGGCATCTGATTTCCATCTTCTATTTTGGTTTGGCATAGCTTAAAGCTGTCAGGGGATGAACTGGTGTCTTTAGATGTGGCCATTATAATAAAATTGATTTTATTTTTGCTCCCACATCTAGGAATTTTATTTTCTTTGTGCCATTGGTGTCAGCTCCATGCCACTGATTTTCTAAGCTTTTATACATTTTGGACATGCAGGGTGCCACTGTCATGCATATTTGCAGGTGTTGGCAGAGACAGGAAATGGTCAGTCAACAAACTCTATCAACCATCTTAACAGACAGCAGTCAGACGTTGAGTGTGGTGTTTACATCCAACCTGCACGTCGTAGTACAAGGGATACAAGCCCAATTCTGGATGCAACAGAAATTGCTAGGAGTTACTAATGTTGAAGTTGAATGTAATAGTCTTTACATGGTAGATTTGTACAAATCTCCACATCAAACCTGAACCATTATTGGCCATGTTTTTCACTGTGGTCAGATAATCAGCTAATACATATGCTTCATTCACCAACATTTCTGGTTCTTTTATGGACTGAGATTTTATATCTTAAAGCATCACCATAAAGAGAGGTGTCTGAGGTGGATTGTGTGTGATTACCAAATTATCTGATTATGACATTGTCACTATACACGAATTTCTTTCAATTAAACAGTTCGTATTCCTATAAAGTAATAGTTGTGACCTCATCTTTCAGCCCATGAGTTGAGGCTACTGCTTCTTCATTCTTGATGTTCTTGATGCTCATTAGATTATCCCATCCATAATATAGATATTTCCTCCTAGTTTAACCACGGCGATTAGCTTAGCAGCTTAAGTTCTTGTATTTGAACTGTGGAAATCATATCAATTCTGCGATCATTACAAACTTGGGATTCCAATCCTGCAGCATTGGTCTGAATTCCAATCATTTGTATTCCATTTACCCTAATGAATTATAGGGGTGGTGTTTACAGTCCAGTTCGGTGCGGTTTGAAGATCTCAGACAAAACCTGTAATGATGGTCTGAGAAATTTCCAGACCAAATCAAACTGCTTTGGTATAGAAACAAAGCTAGATCAAACCATTTTATTGTGGTTTGTGTGGTTTCTTATACGGTTCGGTGCGATTTGGAGATCTCATACGAAACCACTAAATAACAGCCTGAGAAATTTCCAGACGAAATCAAACTGCTTTGGTATGCAAACCAAACTAGATCAAATCATTTTTTGCGGTTTAGTGTTGTTTTAATATGGTTTGGATTCTATCAGGCTTAGCCCAATTAGAAAGCTCAAATAACATCCCAAGCATTGGGAAATTAGAGATTCCTTCATATTCTCCTACCAAAACTATGCATTAAGCAAAAGCCTTATTAAAAATCATGACTTATGAATCACAAAGGAAAGATTGGAGAATGAGGAGGAAAGGAGGGCAGATCAGTAAGTCTAGCTAAAGAGGGATTAAATAGGACTGAAGCTTGTTGGAGGAACATTTTTCCCACTCTTATAAAGTTGTAGTTACTCGTCCAAGAATGCATACCACTTAAATGTCATTTCCGCGAGTATGTTGACATTTGCAACGTTTTCTCAAATATAGGTTGCTTCTTGCATTTAACCAAGCATGGATTTTTGGTACCTAATGAAGGTATGCTCTTTTGTGCAACTGATACTGGTTAGGGTAGGTTGGTTAAATAAGACTGTTTGGTTTGAAGCATGGTTTTCAAAACTGGACCGGACCGGAAAATCAGGAACCGGTCAGGTGACCGGTTTCGGTTTTCCCCAAAATTGGAAATTTACCCAAAATTGTTGATTTTGGTCAGCAAACCGCTGACCCAGGCGATTAATTGTTTGAACTGTTCAAATAGTGTTGTCTTTTTTATTTTTTTGTCAGAACGGGCCAACTGTTTGGTTCGAATGGTTGGACCATTCAACCCGTTAACCGGACCCCTGACCGGTTCGGTCTTTGAGTTGTTTTTAAAAACCATGCTTTGAAGGAAAAGGTATGGAAAGAAAGGGAAAGGTAGGGAAACCCATACAAGGTTTGTATCTGTTACCCACGAGATGGTTTTAAAAACCATGATTTCCTACCTTTTCCTTCCTTTCCCTACTTTTTCCTTCAAATCAAACACAGCCTAAGTGATTGAGTGATTTGGTCACCAGGGTCTAGTGAGTCTATCTGTTACCCACGAGATGTTACCCACATTGTTTCCGTATCCACGGTACAACCCCATCAATGACAACATAGAAGAATGAATTATGTTGGTTGTTGGAGGCAATGTAGGTAGTGTATTCTTGGTAGCAGATCTAAGTAGTCCTGGACATACAACTAATGCAGGATTCTTCCTATCAATGTTTTCAAACCGCTGTTTATCTGGATGGTTGAACCGTTCGTCTTGAGAATCATTTAGGCAATCGATTCCATTTTACCCTAAATCCAGTCTCTAGCAAAAACTGTTGAATTGGTCAATGACCCACTGATTCGGGTGGTTGAACTTTTGACTCGCTCAATGATTTTTGGAATTTTTATTTTAGTTAATTTTTATATTTTTTCATTGGAACGGGCCATCTATTCGAACCAGACAGTCGAACCATCGACCCTGAAATCAGTGAACAGACCGATTCAATTCCAAGTCGATTTTTAAAACTTTGCTTCCTACACATTAGCCTAGTGAGCATTCTAAGTACAAACTCAGTTCTGCAAGATTTGCATATCCTGCTACTGTTGGCCATAATTATTCTTAAAGTTATTAAATCCAAAAATGATATATTTTAAAGTTATTCTTGATTTTCTGAAAACAATAGTTATTTAACTTTTAATTTGTTCTACCCCCATTGTGTAGATGATGCAAAAAAAAAAAAAAAGTTAGAATTTGGAAGAAACTGGGGAACTATTAGTTTGGTAATCTTGGAAAACAATTAGTGAATAGAATTTTGAAAGATAACTATTTGGGGGTTTCATTGATTAAAGTTGAATTTGTATGTCATTTTTGACATATTTACACATTTTTTTGACCAGAACAAGCTGTTTTATGTAGTTGAAGTAATTTGACTAATTACTATCAAATTAAAGTGTATAAAAAAGTGGAGCTAGTTGTATTGAATAAAAGTAAACAAGAATCAAAATTTTGGAACTAGTCTCGGTATAGAATAATCAATGAGGTTCCTCTAGTGTTGGGGATTTAGTAACTATAACCCAAATTTAGACCAGTCAACTAAATTGAGGGGTGGGACAGAGCAGTCTCCTACTGGTTGTAGCCTGGGATCGAATTCCACTTGCACCTGAGTTGGGGTGGGGTGGGGGTTGTGTTTGGGGTATGCCCTGTTGTGTAGTTCTGTGGAGAATGTAGGGTAAAAAACTTTAATACCTGAGTTTTTCATCCTTCATTTTATTTCAAATTTTCAAGAAGGGCATTGCTTCAACAAATAAATGACTTGCCCATTTCAAGTTGACAATTCAATCTTGTCTTTAACTTAGCATGCTATGTACGTTTCAATATTTAAGCTCAAATTAAGTCTGATAAATTTGAATTTGTCATTTCTCTTACACTGCAATTTCTTCCCATTTGTCTAAATTTGAATTTGAATTCAATCCAATTTTACATATTTGTAAATAACTTAATACAAGGTTTTGCATTGTACATATTTACATTTGTATTCCTTCTAAACTGAGCCTTCACTTCATTTTATATGATATTTTTATCAGTTTTAGTTTAATTCATTAATGTTATTCGATACCCAATTTCAGTCAGAATTTGTTTCGATTCTGAAATAAATTCAACGGTTTAATTTTTGATTTGACTTTACATATTAGCTAATCAAGTTTTGTATGTTTGATTCAATGGGAGCGAGGGAATGGAGTCATAGCCAACCACCCATAGCCGAAAAAGCCGAGAGTGATTGGCCTAAGATGCAATGAGCGAGTGACCCAATGTGTTTTTTTTTTTTATATATATATACATTATCGTGCTTTCGATAGTATTTGACAACATTTTTAATAAGTACTTCTTTTAAGATATGGGACCACACATTAAGTGATTTTTAAGTATTTATGAGTGTTTAGTAAAAAAATGGGAAAAAAGTACTTTTTGAAAAAATGACTTCAAATTAGCTTTTTTCAAGTACTTCTTGACGAAATGCTTCTCCAAAATAATAGGACAAACTAGTCCCTGACAAATTTGTATAATGACTTAAATACCCCTACGAGGTTATACCTCCCCCTTCTCCACTCATTCAACCCTCAAACCCTAGCAGCAGTGGCGCACCAGTTGCAGGTCCATTGGCGACGATCGGTAGTGAGGAACCATGGCCGGCGGACCTGCCGTTTGGCCTCTTTCCTCTATGTTTTGAATTTTTTCTTTCATTTAATCGTTCTTTTTTTGTTTTTCTCTAACATGAACTCTATTCTTTGTAGATCTATTGTGAAATCTACTGTTCGAACAACGACCAACGACAATAGATTAATTCTCTATACATAGATCTATTATCGTGAAATCTATTGTTAGTTGTGAGAAGTCTGAAATCCGAAACAGAACTCAATCTCAGATCTCTGAAACATAGCTCATAGCTTGACCTCAGATCTCTGAAACAGAGCTCGGTCTCAGATCTCTAAAACATAAATCTGAAACAGTATAGGCACTCAACTCTTTAATATTCGTGATATATGGATTGACTGATATATAGTGCAAATGTTTTGCTTGATCTCAGATCTCTGAAATTTCTTTTGGAGTGCATGGGTTTTCTGATTTCATCAGATGAAATGAACTTGTCAAACCTTTATGGGAAAGGATTTATTTTGCCTTGTTTAATGATCAAAATACTGCAATATTTAGATAGTTGGATAGATTTTTGGTGTTACTTGAATGTGAAACCTGTTTCCGGACGTCACGCAGAAATTTAATTAATAAGCTATCTGATATCAAATCTATCATTTTGAGACCTTGCCTTGTTACAGATCAAAAGATGTGGATTTTATGCCTAGTAAGTGGATATGCAGAACTGATTCTCTTGGTCTAGTTTCAGGTTTTAATGTGAACGAGGCAGGGATGAATGGATGATCAATCATCTTTATAAACATGACATCTTGATTTATTATTATGATAATTTTATTATTATTATTATTATTATTAATTAGATTCATATGGCAATTTATGTGGGTTTGAAATGTATAATATAACATGTGAAAAATATTGTATATATGTATGAATGAAGTGAGGACTAAAATTGTTATTGTATAAATATAAACATTTATGGGACAATAGCTTACCAAACATTTCCATCCCAATAAGTACTTAAAAATATAATAACTGATTTAAAAAAGTGATTATCAAAAAGTCTAAAATTGTTAAAATAAATTATTCTTTTAACAAGTATTAATGATCAAACAGAGACTTAATGAAAGTGCGTGGTTTTTTCACTTGTTTGATTCTAGTGACATAAAGTTGGATTAGGGAATGAAGGATTTTCTTTTTTTTTTTTTCAAAACAAAATAATACATATTTGCCAACACCCCTAAGCAAAACCAGTGTTCCGAAAGTAGAAATTTAGAAACTCGACTGAGTTCACAGGTTCAATAGCGTTTTTGAACCATGAAAACCCATAGGGGTAGTAGAAATTCTACAGAAAACCCAGAAAAAATAAAGAAATCTAAGCAGCAACAATAAGAAAACCAACGGGTACAGCTGAAGATGATTTATGAGCATCCAAGCAAATAAGCAGCAA